ATGTACCTTCACAGAACTCATCATAGACAGCATAGTTAGCAAATCAAACCAATAATAAAATAACAGTAACTCAAAACAGTAATAATATAAAAATAATAATTTGAAAGAACAATGTGAAACTGAAGAAATATGAAGAATTCATTGTGACTGAAAGGAGAATAAAGTACATATTCCTTAGATCTTATTGCTGTGACAGGATGGGAGAGGAAGGGAACAACCACAGTACCTGAGTGAACTTCCCTAAATTTTTTGTTAAGATAAATAGAAAGGCTCCCTTCAATTTCTGTAAGTGATGCAGCAAAGACAGCCTTATAGCTACTTTTAACTCAACTATGCAGCTTTTTGGAAATGAAAAAAGAAATAAATAAGGCCTATTCTGTGCAACAGAGAAAATGAGATGATTCATATGTTATTAAATTAATACTTCTCATTATACAAAGAGATCTAAAATTTACAGCAAAAGAATAGAGAACAAACAAACTCCCACAAATGTTTAATTGTGTTTAAAATGTCAGAGAATAATTCGTTTTGTACCATCGAAGCTTCCTATCAAATTTATTCCCACGTCCAAAGCTTGGTGAGCCAAAGTTTTCAAATCACTGAACCTAGAAACAAACTTAATTAACTGTTTCTTCTGTTATTTTCTGCAGGCCCAAATTATAACAGAATAATAGAATAAGGCTTTTTCTTTTGTCTCATCTAAAAAAAGCATACCGATGAAAACCAGTCCCACAAAGGATTATTTTTTTTCCAAACTATTGAGTTGAAAGGTTTGAAGAATATCAACATTTGCAAAATGTTTAATAATGTGATTTTAAATGATTAGAGGGTTAATGAGACAAATCACTTAGTTTACCAGTTGTATACCAGCTGTACGAAGGAAATTTCTCTCAGGTGGACCAGTGCAAAGATGACATGTGAACGTGCTTTGTGAATGCTGACCATCACTGTGAGAACTATCTCCCAAATCTCAGGAATTTTTGGAGGAAGATGGCAGAGAGGATGAGCAGAGCTGTTAATGAATTGGAAATGCATTGAGGGTACATCCTGTAAAGCAATGACACAGGTTGTGCCAACAGCCTAATGAAATCACAAGAAGTCTCCATCCAGCATGTAACAACACTAAAAATAGCCTGACCTTTTTTAGGGATCTGCCAGGTTATCAGTTGTGGCTAGTAGTTACAGAAAAAAACCCACCATTTTGATTCAAAAATTGAAAATCCAGTGCCTAAATTTGGAAATAATTTCTATATGGTATGAAATTGAAGACTTAATTTTATTATAGTAAATGCAATGAAAATTACTGTTATTTTAAAAAAATAATACAATAAAAAATTATTTTTTTTAAGCAGCACTTTTTTTTTTGTGCAAACATGTGAGTGGACAGCATTAACTAGTTGTCATGAAAAGTATCTTAGAAAATCCCAACAGTCAGAAATCAAAAACAAACATGTCAAAAATTTTCTTGAGATATATCACTTGCTTATGTATTCCCTTTGCCTTTTAATTCTATTCATGAAGTTGATTTAGAAATGGTGCTCAGATTTGTGGAAGGCAAACTCAATCAAAAGAATTCAAGGATAACCATCTAAGACTAGAGAAAGACAAAAGTATGAAAAAAAGGAACGTATATGTTAGAACCATGACCCAATTAGGAGGATCTGAAAAATTCTTGTTCTCCCCATCCAGCCCTCCTGGACTCCAAGTGTACTTCAGCAATGAGAGCTAAAAAGCAGGGATGAATAGGAGGAATGTAAGATCACTACCGCCCCAGGGAACAGCACTTCTGGGTGTTTTAAACACTCCACAGTTCTGAGAATGGATCAGCATCTTACACCAAGGCTCCTTTTAGCTTTGGACAGAAAATACAATCATTTAACTTGGCTTCTCTGATCCATACAGTAATTTTTTTCTCAGTGTTAGAAGTTTATTTTATGGCAACTAAAAATCAGTAGTGCCTTTCAGTAGTGCAAATACCTAGGAAATTAACTCTAAGGATACTTAAACATTGACCAAAGACATTCCCAGGCACTTACAGTCTTCCCATGCATGTCTGGAAGTCCTAACAGTGCTGAAAATGCAGCTGTTTGACACATGCTCAAGTTTCAAAATCATAATTAAATCTAGCTTTTTGTTATCTCTCTGAACCAACCTCACCCAGAAAAAATATTTTAGGGCCTATCTGCTAAACTACATTTCCTGTAAAATAAATTATATGATGATGGCTGCAGTATCATACACTTAACTCACCCAGTTTGGAAGATTTGTCTCTGTATTTCCAAATACTTAAAAGAGAGACAAAACTCCCCTAACACCCCATTATGTTATAGGCTGTATTACAGGCCCCACACAATACTACAGGCTCTATGGGGTTTTGCTGGGATGGGGTTTATTCTCCACAGTAGCCTTTGTGGAGCAACAATTCAGCATGTGGCTGAAACAATGTTGCTAATACACCATCATTTTGGTTATTGCTGAAGAGAGCTTGCACAGCATCAAGGCTTTTTCTCCTTTCAATTTTACCCTTCCTCTCCCAGTAGCAAGTTGGCAGGGGGTGGGGTACAGGGTTTGGAGAGGACCTAGCCAGGAGAGATGACCCCACATGACCAAAGAACAGTCCATATCACATGGTGTTCTGCAGCAAAAGCTCAGGGCAAGGAAGTGCAAGGGAGAACATTCATGATTATGGTTTTTGTCTTCCCAAATAACTGCTATACCTGATGAAGCCCTGCTTTCCTTGCTAAACATCTGCCTGCTGCTGGGAAGCAGTGAATGAATTTCTTATTTTGCTTCACCTGCACGTGCAACATTTGCTTTCCCTATTTAACTATCTTCTGCTTTTATATCTTTATTTTCTACCTGACCCACAGCAGAGACGAGTGAGAAGGTTGGCTACTGGCCAGAGTCAATCCACCACATGCTGTCACTAAATATGCATTGGGAAGGATCCCTGGACAGGAGGGGATGTATACAGAAGCAAACGTGGATCTGGCCCAGTGACTACAGCATCTCCCTTGCAGAGGAAATATAAAATGAAACCAAACTAAATTAAACTGCATTACTCCTGAGAGCAAGAAAGAAAACACAGGTCTCCCAGCCCACTCCCTCAAATATGAGTTTGGAGGAAGAGGTCATTTGCTCATGACTTGGTTTTGTGTCTCATTTTAGAGAATGTTCAAACATACAAATCATGAGCAGAAGAAAATGCCTATTTGTAAAGCAGAGACCCCAAGTTCTGTGGGGCACTATGGTGGCCTGGGCTCAGCAGACAGTCAAGCTGAAGTGCTTCTTAGTGTCTAGTGTTAAATAAGCCTCTGTGGTGGTGCTGCTGTGTCCCATATCTAAGAGAAATAACTCTTCCCAGGCTAGGAAGAGCAAGGTGACTAATTCAGAGTTGTCTATTTCTACAGCAAGCACCTTCTGTTTATTTATCCAGTTCACATCATATGTTGGAGACTGAAACAGCCCACAGGCAATTCTCAGCCTATTGTCAACATTTCTCTTGAATGTCTTTGGTCATTTGTTCTTTATTATTTAAGAGAAAGGAACTCTAGTACAAAAAAGTGGCATAAAAGTGTGTAAGTATTGATAGGGTGTGTTAAGGGAATAAATCATACTGATTGAGCATCTTGTCACTGGTGTAATTGCATCTGTATTTAGGAATTCTAACACCGTAGCTGCAGAGGATCCTGGGCACAGGTCCAGTGCTGAAAATGAGAACTGGGGCTCACAGTGTCCCTTCTGGAAGACTAGAGAACACGAAGTATAAAATGTCTCATCAAAATACAGGAGAAAAGCCAGACAGACCTATTGAAAGTGAGACCATAGCAGATGGTTTTGATGTTAGGATGGAAAACTGAGACAGAAATTATAGGAAGCCATTTAAAAAAGCTGCATGCAAATGAACAGAGAAATTCTATTTAACTTTTTCACCCTTCCCAATAGTTCATATTCCCATCAAGGGACTTAATTCTCTTCTGCTTTAGAGCACTGTCATTCTTCTAAATTGCTCTTGGCTGTGATCTTTACCTGTGCTATGCACCATAATTTCTAAGTTTTATGAATTGTCAGTAACAAACTGGCCAGGACAGCCCCTATTAAACTTCCTCATCAACAGTCTTCTGAAAGACAGAACCCAGCACCATGATTGGTGTAGGTAGATAAATAATTAGGCTTATGCATTGGTATCATAAGAAACAGATGTGGACAAAACACGACAGATGAGAGACATTAATTAGGAGCTTCAAAAAGAGAACTAAAATGATGCAAAAAGAAAGATTAGACACTGGCTGGCTAGCTTTGTGCTACTTGCTTTTCTTTCCTCCAATCACTTAAGCCTCTTACTCTCTTTGTGATGTGTTTGCTTTGTGTTCTTCTATGTCCTTTATCTTCAACTATAGCTGGTTTTACAGTTTAAACAACAATAATCAAATGTTTGTAGAAAATCCAGATTTTTAAAAATCTAATAAAAATATGCATTTATTTTAGGATGATCTGCTTCCTAGAAGTCATAAAAAAGAAGAGACATTAATCGGAAAATATTAAGTTAATTAGTTCGAGCTGTTATTTATCATGAGCAATTTCCATCTACAAAAGAAGGACAGAGAGACAAATGAAGGGATATTGCACCACTTTAAAATACACTGTGCATCCAGGAATCTTTCTATTACACTAGCAGGGTGTGCATGGCTCTAAAAGCAAATACTCGTGTTGCTGGTAAGGATGACAGCTTTAAGGAAATCACTTTTCTTTTTTTCAAAGAAAGACCAGTTTTAGTAAACATAAACTACAAGTTGGGTGTATGTAATATGCTGTGATTCACCTGAGTGCAACTGTCATTCCCAATTTCTTTTCCCAGAAAAGAATTTACTAGGTGACTATAGAAGAAATTATTAATTGCAATATTTGTTTATAAGGTAACTTCTATGCAACACCAAGCAGAATTTCTATCTGAAAATAAACCAACTCTACATATTTATAAAAAAACCTTTAATACTTACATAAGGGATTGTGTCCAAAGTGTCTGTGTTGACAATTATAGGGGCAGGGCTTGCCTGAAATGGAAAAAAAAAATAGAGAAAATAAATTTAAAGACCTGAAATTCATTAATATTGAAATACCCATACTTCTACATTAAGTTAAAAGTCTAAAAGCCCATTTTCCCACTGAATTAAAATTGTACAACAGTATATAACTGTGGGTACTGCTCAATCCAGGATGAAGAAATAGGTTCTCAGCCTCCAAACCACAGCTCGCTGTGGCCTTTCTTTTTAGCTTCTCCAGGTTTTGGACCACATCCTGAATACATATTATCCAGTTGTGCATGTTTTAGTAGAACTGCAAGAAACATGATGTGTCCACCTTTCAATTAGGGGATATTGAGGTTGAGGGTTTCAGCTTCAAATGAACCTGACAAATCCACCTTTTGTGCTTGAAGCAAGATGATGAACTGATCTTTACAGAGGAGAAACATTTAATGCTTACACTACTTAGCAGTACTGTATAGGATATGTATAAGCACATATATGGTGATATTTATGTCAAAGGTATATTGTGCTGTATATTTTTACATATAATTGGCATGGCTCATATACACTCAGCTGAGGTTCAGATTGAAATACAGAACAGTTTAAAAAGACTTGAGCATCTGCAAAGCTGCCCAACCTGATCTTTAATTTCTTGATGAAGCTCATACCCAGGCTCATTTCCAACCACCTGAACCTCTTGCTCTTTCCATTCTGGCATTCAGTGGTACTGACCCAATGCCAAGCTCTGATATGACCCAGCTGCATAAGCTTGGCTCAGCCTCTGAAGAAAACCAGGAAGATGTGAGAAGGTGTAAGCCAGAGGCAAGCACCGTCAGTAAAACGTCAAACTGAGGCAGGACTGCCAAGATGGGATTGTTAATAAATCAAGGACTCAGGAGGACCTACATGTAGTCAGTGTAGTACAAAGAGTGATGGAAGGCACACTTTCTCATGCCTACTTGGGCAGCAAAGACTCTTCAGTCACTGTACTGGGCTGATGAAAACACTAATGCTTAGCACAGTAGCTCACTAGCTCTATTCATCTGCACTGTGTATTTGTCACTGAATGGCTGCACTTTAAACTCATACAGACTGCAGGATCTCTTTGTGCATGGCAGGCATGCTGAAAACACTGATCCTATTTCTGTCATCAAATATTTACTGTGGGATTTCAAACCTTTGGTTGTTACCAGCCCAAATTAGGAATGTGACATTACTGCAATAATTCAAATAACGTGAGAACAACAGTTTTTGTGCAGTCATTCAAGGATAATTCTGTGTTCAAAGAAATGTTATGTTACTGGACAAAAGCTACTCCTGATTAATGCCATGATTTCTATACAACTGTGTAACTGTGAATTAAAATTAAATGTATACAATTTGGCGTGTCTGCATTTCATAGCATGGACCAGTGTCATGGTAAATGACATGGTAAATGACCAGTGTCATATTAAAATGCATAGTACCTGAAAAGATATTATAGGCCCATACCCTGTTATTCTCATTGAGAGGCATTAATGAGAATAACAGGGTATGGGCCTATAATGCTTAGCACAGTAGCATTATAGTCCCCACACAGTCCCCAAAATACTGGACACACTGAAGTGATAGGTAAAAGCAGAAGGCCATATGATTATAATATTTTTAGCTTTAGGCAGATGGAATATGCCTATAGTTGCATTATCATTGGAGGTAAAACAAATTATTTTCTTTTTAGAATAAGAGTTTTTTCTTACACCAATATTTAGCTCAATAAACTTAAGAAGTGGCACCTTTGCTACAGGAAGAATAAGCTTGGCAATTTTTTACAGTATTGATTTTATCTCCTTTTTATTTTTACCTACTGTGTTGGTCTATAACCAACTACAAAAAAAATTGCAGTTTTCAGAATAAAAGCATCTTTCCACTGATGATTTATAAAACAGTATCTACTAAAATAACAAAAATCTTTCAGAAGTCATTTTCCAAAGCATTCACCAAAATTTCTTTAACCTATTGAAGAACAAAGCCTTTCATCTACATCAGATTTTCCTGAAGAAAAGTAAAGAAATCAGAAACAAATGTGGGAACACTTAGGACTGGACAGAGTACTCCTGGTGCAGTGTGACAAGGGGATGAGATGTCCCTCACCCTGCTGCCCAGGCTGGAAGTGCAGCCCAGTTTGCCATTCCCTCTCATTGCTGCAATGGCTGACTCATGTGCACCTTGTTCTCCTCTCTACCAAGCTGCAGCTTAGCCAGACTGTGCCTGGCTGGGACTGCTCCATGTTTTATTCTGCCATGGGGAACTCCTGTGTGTTTTCATTAACTTGGTGAGGTTCCTCTCAGCACATTTCTCCTTCTCCTATATTCCTCTGAAAAGCAGGGAACAAATCAGTGTATGATCTGCTCTTCCCAGTCTGGTGTTACCTCAAACCTTGCTGACAATGCTCTCTATATAATCATTCTGGTTATTAATGAAGATAATCAGCATTAGCACCTCTATCAACTCTGTATGAGCACCACAAGTAACTGAACTGCTGACCACTGCTCTTTGGGTCTGCTGGTCTAGCCAGTGTCCCACTCATCTTCTAGTAAACCCATACATTTAGTTTCTCTCTCATTTGGCTATGAAAGAGAATTTGAGCTGAATACCTTGCTAAAATCCAGGCAAATGACATCTACTGATCTTCCCTTATCCACAGAGCTAGCAGATTTCTCATCACAGAAAGATGTTAGGTTGACAAGGTAAAATCCAAACACTTGTAAACATTTGTAAACTGACCTCCCTCTTTTTAATCACCTCCCTCTGTCCTTCATGAGCCTTGACAAAATGTTCTGGGGGCCCAGACCATGGACACTCACCATGATGCTTCCATTTGTTAGCTTCCTACCTAATCCTGATCCTTGGGTTATCACTTGGTCCATCACCCCTTCTACAGGAAAAGTCTGAGCATTGAAAGCTGCTCCTTTGAATGATGTGATCCTTTCCTGACTGGCCCTGCTGCAAAGCCTGCAAAGAATTAGTTTTCAGGCCAGTGTATCACTCAGAGTTCATTTCAACACTGTGCTTACTGTATTCTTTACTGATTGGAAAACTATACTAACCTATCAAACTGATGATTTTCTTCAACTGGGGCATTTATCCTGTTCAGACAGACAGGCATGGAAAAATTCACAGCGCAATAGTTTCAGATGGATATAGTGACTATAAGCACTCTCAACTAATACCATCAGTGCATTTGCCTTCTCTGTTTCTCCTGTTCATATCTGGGCATGTGATTCTCTGTATGGGACAGTGCTTCTTGTTACAACTTGTCTTTTTAGGTTTTGGTTTGGTTGTTTTGTTTTTGGGTTGTTTTTTTTTTGGGGGGGGATGTTTATTTTTTTCTTTGGTTTTGTTTTTTTTTTTTAATAAGAAATATGATTTAATGGAAACATCTTGCTGCCATCTCTCTGATATATGGTAATTCGAAGAACACTATCCTCCTGAGCTGCAAAATTGCATTAAAGTGCAGGAAATGGAGATTATTTCATTAGCTGGGCCCTGTTTGTAGCTCATGCTTTAAAGAAGACGACTTCAATCATGCAAAGCTGAGAAGACAGTTTGCAATCACTGGAGAGAGCCCTAAATATAGTGCTAGCCATGGAGTACACAACAGAATCAAAACAGTCCTGTAACCACAGTGAAATTACTGAAGGGATGAGTATCAATGAGGAGTCAGAGATTTTACTTTCCAGAATGATGTGTCTGTATCTATGAAAACATGACTTGAAAACATGCCACACTGGTTCACCACATTCTCAAGAAAGATACGCAGGTATCTCTGTACTTCTAATGGAGAACATTGACAAATCTATGAACCAGGATTCATCAACAGTGCTCCTAGCTGTGCATAAATTAACAAAGGCATGCAAAAACATGTCTAGATTCTCTTGAGAACCTCAGCCTATAGTGTCTTTGAGATAGTACTGCATCTTATCTCTCAATCTGTATACCCACACAGATCTATACAGCCTTTATCTAGGCTTCAGACTGGCTGAGAAGAAATAGCTTCCTGGAAAATAATGACTTCATTCCTAACTCTGTGCTTTGACCTTCTCTGCCATCTTGACCAAGACACTGAATTACAGTTTACCAAGTAAATTACACTTTACCAGCTTTTTCCAGATGCAAAATAAAACCAAGCCAATCACCATAAGTGTGAATATTACTGAGTGTAGTAATTGAGTATTCCTGTTTTCCCCATTCCTCACTCACTTCCCTCTCCATCCCAATCCCTAGCTATACATGAAGTATTACACTAAGCTGACAATGTACTGTGCAGTCACACTTACAGCTCCTGCTCCCTGCATGAACCTTCCTCCTACCCTTGACTGCAAGCTCTGCTTTCAGCTGAGCCATCTCTGTGCTTTGAAAAAAGGCATCACACTGACAGCTGCAGTGAAAGACGGGCATAGCTGAGACAAAACTTGAATAGCTTTGGGAAAAAAAGTAAAAATTGAAGATTTTTCTTATTCTTCTTCTTAAAGGACTTGAGCATAAAACGCTTTGCTTCCACAAATGTATACAAGATTGTTCTGCTTGCTTTTCTGCCAAAAGCACAACTTAGAAGCAAGACAGAGTAAAAGCACTTGAAGCCAGTAGAAACAGAACAAAAAGGCACATGGTTCATGAACAATTACTCTGCTGCCAAATTCTCTACAAGTGTATGGTATGACTCATACCTCTCAGACAAGGTGAACTTTCCCTCTACCATGAATGCTAGCATTATCCTGGTAGACTGGTTTTAATCCTACTACTCACAGTTTTAGAGACTATCCATATCATACTGGGTTGCTTTCTGCAGCATTCGTAAGTCCTTGTTTTAAGTGTTCCTACTATGCAGGACTATATTCAACACCAGACCACAAAATCACAAACATAGTTATGTGGCCACTACTTTATAAATCATAAGCACAGCACACTACTTCTTAACAAGAAAACAGAACCAAGTATGTCATCATTTTGAAATTGCCCACCTATGCCTATTCCTAGCTGCAATTTTA